TCCTTTTAGAAAATGTGATGGCAATGTTTATTGCTTCAGACTAATTAATCACAGAATGGTTGAGGTTGGAAGGGACCTCTGGAGATCATCGAGTCCAACCTCTCTGCTCAAGCAGGTTCCTCTAGAGCACATTACCCAGGATTGTGTCCAGATAGCTTTTGAATATCTTCAGTGAAGGATACTCCACAGCCTTTCTGGGCAACCTGTTCCAGTGCTCAGTCACCCTCACAGTCAAGAAGCTTTTCCTCACGTTCAGGCAGAACTTCCCCGTTGGCCCAGCTCTCGCAGCCTTTCTTCAGAGGAGAGATGCTCCAGTCCCCTCATCATCTTCGTAGCCCTCCGCTGGACTCTCTCCAGTAGCGCCATGTCTCCCTTGCACTGGGGAGCCCAGAACTGGACACAGCACTCCAGGTGAGGCCTCCCCAGGGCTGAGTAGAGGGGCAGGATCACCTCCCTCCACCTGCTGGCAACACTCTGCCTAATGCACCCCAGGATACCAGTGGCCTTCTTGGCCGCAAGGGCACGCTGCTGGCTCATGCTTAACTTGTTGTCCACCAGGACTCCTAGGTCCTTCTCTGCAGAACTGCTTTCCAGCAGGTCAGCCCCCAGCCTGTACTGGTGCCTGGGGTTATTCCCTCCCTAGGTGCAGAACCCTGCACTTGCCTTTGTTGAAGTTCAGGAGGTTTCTCTCTGCCCATCTCTCCAGCCTGTCCAGGTCCCTCTGAATGGCAGCACAGTCTTCTGGTGTGCCAGCCACTCCTTCCCATTTTGTATCATTAGCAAACTTGCTGAGGAGGCACTCTGTGCCTTCATCCAGGTCACTAATCAATAAGTTAAACAAGACTGGGCCTAGTGCTGACCCCTGGGGGACACCACTAGCTACAGGCCTCCAACTTGACTCTGTGCCATTCACCACAACCCTCTGAGCTCGGCCATCCAGCCAGTTCTCAATCCACCTCACCGTCCACTCATCTAGCCCACGCTTCCTGAGTTTACCTATAAGGATGTAATGGGAGACAGTGTCCAAAGCCTTGCTGAAGTCCAGGTAGACAACATCCACTGCTCTCCCCTCATCTACCCAGCCAATCATCCCATCATAGAAGGCTATCAGGCTGGTCAAGCATGATTTCCCTTTGGTCAATCCATGCTAACTACAAATGTTCATTTATAATAAGCGTTATAGTGTGTATCAACAAAACAGAAAAATCAACAGGAAGGGCTAGGTACTGCACAGGCAAAAACAAAGGCAAAATCTCTACTGTTTTGCCAGGTCCATATGCTCATGCAGCTTTCTGTAATATTTCAAGTGTTGACTGCTGCCTTCTGAAAAAAGAAATACTTCTCCTGCATCCAACTCCATGTGCTAATGTCTTTGTTTTTTTTCCCAGGAGCATATTTTCATATATTGACAATAAATGAAAGAAGTCTAAAATAGCCTATAATAAAGCAGAAGCATGCAGTGAAGAAGAAAATTTCTGCAATGCTTAATCATGTCACAGCATAGAATTTGCATATTATACAAGGCAGCTATATTAATATTTTTCTTTAGTTTTTAAATCTATTTTTCTTGACCTCTGCTTACTTTAATCATGCATGCATTTTTTTTGCTGTAAGCACCATGCATAGAGTATACACAAACAAATGCTAGAGCATAATTCTTATTATTACTATTTAGCTGTAAACTAAAACATGTTACGTTATCATCTGTTAACATTTATCTAGAATTATCACCAAAAAATAGGAAATGTCCCCTTGAAATCACATGTAGAACTTCATAGACATAATGGAATTAAATCTAATCTCCAAACACTTAAAAAACAGTATTATTGGGGCCTTAAGGGATTACATCTCAGCTAAAAGACAGTACCTGCCATTGCAATCATTTCCAATAATAATCAAAATTAATCCCTGGGTTGACAGCAAACACAAATCCTATACATAGTTTAACACCTGAAAAAAAAAAAAAAAGTGTATAAAGTTAAGTGGGATGCCCCATAAGCAGAAGCATGGATATTCTGCTGATCCTGTGCTAAGGGGGAAACTTCTTACCACGTAGTGGTATGCTGCATCACTACTGACTGCAAAGAAGATGAGTATGACGTAGGAATTCTCAAGATTTTCCCAGAAATACTATTATCTGTGTTCTGCCTTCTCTCGCTTTATGGTATATGTCTAACAGGTTAATTAAGGTGAATTAAGGTCAAGTTATGTGTTAGGAGTCTGAAGCTCAGAAATTTCAATCGTTAAATTTGTGTTAAATCTGATGTCTGTAGTATATAAAACTTGAAATGCACTCACGTTGTGAGCGCTCACGCACTGTAAAACAGCAGCATTCTTCCACTAGAAACAAATGTTTTACATTACATCACCTGCTGAAGATTAAGCATTTTACAAGCATTTGCTTAATGTATTAACTACTGAAAAAATGTCAAGCGCCTGCTTGTAGTTTCTGAAAGAACTCTAACTTTTATTAAACATGAGATTAAGAATAAGCCACCTGGGCAGCAGCTTTTCCACCCCTGCACAAGGTTTCCAAACACGTCTCTACTGAAATATTCTAAGAATTACACTGATACTTAAAACTTATACCTCCTAGCAAGCAGTTTTTGAATTTTATATATTTCAATAAATGACAATAAAGCTATAGGCTAATTTGTTAAAGTCTGGCTCATCTGACTCACTTTATGGATTAAGAATCGTCAAGAAATTAGAGAGGAGTGTGCTTTGGCTGCATGATTGATTTTTTTCAGTCTTTCATTTATTGATTGGCAGCTTAACATTTATCAGCTCAAACAGCTTACCATTGCCATTTTGTGAAGTGGTATTTTAGAGGTCAAGCTAATATGGCAGGTGGTTCTGTTTTCATTTAGAAAATTGGTCTTTGCTGGGTCATCATTATCCTCTTTTACCTACTTTAAGGACTCAGAATTACTTCTACACACTGTAAGAAGTAATCAGGAAAAGCTCTTCTCGCAGCCTTTGTCCATCATTCCTGAACAATAATAGAAAAGTGATAAGTGTTGTGATGACATCTCCTTTGTTGTTGAGTAAGAGAAAAAAAATTAGTTATATTGCTGTTCCCTTCTCTCATTGCATCACTGGTGTATGGAATATGAAAAAAAAATCCATGGTTGTTTCATGTTCAGGAGTTTTATAGTAAACACATTCTGATAAGGTAGGCAAACTCAGAGGGACTTCTATAAACTTATAGACATCACTATTTTATTCCCGCGATTGTCAAGACAAAGCATCAGCCTGCAACATTGGGTATAGACACAAACCACACAGTAAATTCATATTCCTACTCAGCAAAGAGTTACTGAAATAGATATGAGTGAGCGTCTGTACGCGCTGCTTGACAAATGGCATTTTCTTACTCTTGGCAATTGTTAAAAGCACTTGAGACCACTGGCATTGCTATACTGAGAAAGCTCTGGTTATTTCCGATGCTCTTATTTATAGTTACATTATAATTAAATTGAATTATCTCTTAAATTCAGGTTTTGTAAGTTATTTTCACACTGAATCTAGCATCAAGGAATGGCATGCAATGTCAAAAGACAAATGCCTCATCAACTTTAAATAATGAACCAATAAGTTTATATTTTAAGGGTAAAGAAATCATAGGGAGCAAAAAAGCAAATTTTTATTTACTGCTTTACTAGCAGTAATAAAAATTAGCAATATGTAATTCACCTGTTATTTTTCATGTGTGGACAGAATAAAGGAAGTTAACAGAAGAAAGCAACAAAAAGTCTCCTTCTTATATTGGAAAATAGATTAAACCTTATACTGAATTTATTGTTGGTCAGTATGAAAGTAAACTTCCACAGATGAACTTACAAGACAAATTTTTCAAGGCAAAAAGTGAATCAATATCACAATACCTGCAATACATACAAATTGGCATGTATGCAAAACAGTGGTATTTTGTGGGCATATGGCAGACAATTTTGTGCATATGATTATAACTACCTTGGAGTTTGTTGGCATGGGGTAATTTGGAAAACTAAATCTGAATTAATTATTTAGAGTATTCGTTTAATTAATCTTACATTAATCTCCAGTGAAGAGGTTATTTTTGGCATTAAAATGGCCTTCATTCAACTTGAATGTATTTTATTGCAGCAGGATCTAAAGACATAAATCTGTTGTTAATTCAGGCGAATTTTCCTGATTGGACTTTGCAGGTAAGCAGTTAGAAAATATTTAATGTTTGCCACTTTCATTACTGAAAGTGGAAGTGGACTGATTTTAACTGAAATGTGCATTATACTGTGTGGGTTACAATATGTAATGTTATGAAAGGTCTAAGACCTGATCAGACAAACTGTGGCTGAAGCTGAAGCTGATCCGAGTGAAGAGGTTCTTGCTTGTATTTTTAACCCAGGTCAGTTCACAGAAGTGGGTTTCTTAGCTAAACTGAGAAGATGATAACTTTGATGAGAGGCCGCGGGAGAGAGAAGAAAGCAGAGCACGGTGCTTGGAGGTAGAAAACCTTCAATTTCAATCACCAGCAGCTTCGACAATCTGCCTGGCCATGGACCTACTTATAATAATAGATTATTCCACTACAGTTATTGCCTTAAATAAATATTATGGAAGTTTACTTTAGATTGTGTCCAGTATCATGAGATAAAACTCTCCCTGTTGTCTACTCAAAAAATTAATCCTGTAGTCACATTTTAATCAAGTAACGATGAAATTGCTTTTCAGGCTATAAGTCCATAGGGGCATACGCTATAGCTTGTACAGTACCTCGTAGGATGGGCCTTCTACCTGAGAGAAGCTCCTGTGTACAACTGCAGAACAGAAGACAAATGTTTACAATTTCCTCTCTCCTTTTCAACAATCTGGTTTCACATTAAAATTACTGGGCAGGGGAGAGTTATATAGCTTGTTTTCCTTTTAATAATTAAAACTATCTTTTATTTCCCTTTCTTTACCTTACATGATGCAGAGTTAGAGGAGTTCATCCTTTTTCTCTCCCTGTCTCCTAGGAAACTGATCTCATGACCTTTAACATCTCAATGCACCGATCTTGGTGGCGAGAACACGGGCCTGGCTGCATACGAAGGGTGGTGCGTCCTTCTGCTCCTGGCATCCTAGATGATTACTCCTACGTCTCTGTGACAGGCTGCATAATTGATTTCCAGTACCTAGAGGTCATTCACAGCGCTATCCAAATATTACTCTCTGTAAGTTCCAGTTTCATGTTATGCTCTGATTCCAGCAGTCCTTTCTTATTCAGTCTTATGCTATTGCATATGTCTTTCCTGACAGGATGATTTAAATAGTTGATCAGCAGCAGCACCGATTTTGAATTATGTTATATTTTGAGTTAGGTACTTGCAATATTAAAATGTACACCAGTCTTCTCTTTGGCTCTATTCCGTAAAGCTCTATACAGGCGACAAAACAGTGTTTTGGCCCCATTCTGGCCTTTACCAGGACAGATGAACATTAACTCTAATTCTTGACTCTCATTCATTAAAATATGTATGGAAAAAAAAACCAGACTTGGTTAAATTAATTTGCCTAAAAGTTTCCAAAGTTCACAGTCAACAACAGCACTTATTCAATTCTGAACATAAATGCATTTTCCATGATACCCAGCTAAGTTGCTTCCTAAAGTGAGATATGAATGTAACGCTTGAAAAGGGTCAGGGAAATAATAGGAATTAGAATATTCATTTATACTTTACAGTGTTGTCTATTCTTTCCTGGGGCATCAGAACATTCTACCTTAGTGAGCTAATTTTTATAGTTACCATACTAGTTTAAACTGCAACCGTTACAAGTCTTTATAATAAGTCTGCTGTCTATTGCATGGCTATTCAGCCTCAGAGTGCTGGCCATTGGCATGCCTCTGGGCAAGGTAGGGAAGCGCTGGGGGCCAGATGAGCTGTTTTGGGAGCAACAGCCCAGTCTTCAGCAGAGTCTTTGCTCAACCATGATGGCTGCTTCTCCTTGTGCTCAAAGGGTTGTTTAGATTTGGCTCCATGTAGTCTTCTAGGAGCAGTAGCTCTTTTTTGGTTTCCTTCCCTACATGGCTCTGTGCGGTACATAGCGACTGGCCCGCCCCAAGTGGGTGCAGATAGATGTGCTGCATCGTAGAAATCTGGACTTTTTCTGAGAATACAAATGCTCATGGTTTGTGGTCCTAACCATATTTGCTAGCGCTTGTCAAATCGTGGGAGAAGAGCTGCAGTCTGTAGTCCCCAGGCCTGCACATGTCAATATCCATATTGAAACTACTATGATATCAGGCCTTAAAGAAGAATTTTGTACACAGCATGAACACAACTTAATTGAATGCACCTTCCTTACTCATGTGAGGGCCTGATACTCAAGCCAAGTCTCCTCTCCCAACAGGAGCAAGCTTGCATCTGCAGCAAATTCCCTTCACAATTAGTACCATTCACTTTGCTTCAGTGAGCCTACACAAAGGAAACTGAAGTATGGTTGATTTACAAGGAGAAAACAATAAATATTTCCAATAATTCCCTCACTTTTATAAGAAAAAAATGTACTATGTTAGTCAGAAATATTTATAGAAATTTTGTGATTAAAAACTAATTCACAGCTCTGTGTAAAGACAATCAGCTGTTGAAATAAGGGCCTATTTTGTTCTTTGTTTATGTAGTAGAATTCTGGTCAAAATTTACCAAATGACTGGAACAAACAGTAATATTTTAATAATGGAGAAAAAAAAAGATTTACAAACATAATGAAATGTGAATATAGGAAAATACAAAAATGGTATAATAGTTTATATGGTGCTATGTAAAGCATAAGATGTCACAGGCTTTCCCTTTCTTATACAAGGAATGATTGCCTGGAGCAATCATGAATAAATTCTGGGTACAGTTAATTGCAAGTTCAAAATGTTCCAGAAACTCATAAGGCTTGAATGTGGATTAAATAATTGACAGTTTCAGAACTTGATTTTGACTATATACACAATATTGAAATTAAACTCCTATATGCAAAGTAAGGTTTTCCTCCCATCTTATTATCTTGCTATCCCATCTATGGTGTGTTATGATTAGCACACCATGAATCTGTTCTTCAATTTCCATTTGTAATATAGGCTTGCCTGTTTTACTATCATGCAGGACAGAAGTCAGCACCTAGCTTATGAGAGTTGCTGTGATTTCCTCCCATTTTCTAAGTAGTGTTGACCTGAGTGGATTTCCATTCATTTCAGACACATAATTGCTTTCCTAATTGGGATACCAATTTCAGTTGTTAGTTAAAAGGCCAATTAGGTCTTATGCTGACAATGCTAGAGAATGAAATCCTCAGTCCACACAACAGAAACAACTTGAACTTTTTCCTAGCAGGAAGTCCTAGAAGTAGACTATTCCTTTCTGGAGCTTACAACCTCCTTAATTTTCATAACATTTTTATGTAGCAATAGTAGCGTAACAAACCATTTTACAGTGTAACAAAAACTTTATTGGCATAACAAATCATTTTAGCATGCTAACTCTTGTCCAAATGACTAGTAGGAAGGTGAACACGTTCATTTGATAGGGAGTTAGAGCCTCTCTGTAGGAAGAAATCCCTCCGGGGTAAATATTAGATACTTGTCCAGGTATATAATTCACTAGCAGCAGATCTCCATGTTTTGAAAAGTGACTTTTTTATTGATTTTTTTTTTTAAGGTATACAAAATTTTATATGCACAGAACGCTGCAGCCCTGACTGCGCTGGACCCTGCTTCAGGGAATAGGCTAGGTAGCCTGTCGTTTATTTAATTCTAACACACTAAGGCTCTTTCTGTATTTGCACTATAGTTGCCTTCAAGAAAAGTATCTTTTACAAGTGAAACAGAAACTGTGTATCTGGTCCAAAATCTGGGGAGGCTACTGAAGTGAACGGACATTAAAGGTGTGTTTCTTTAGACTGGGTAAACTCAGAAAAATATGGGAGTGGGATGCAATTAATAATAAAAGAAATATATTTAAACTATTTGTTTAAAATATACTTTCATTTGATGTTTAGGTGCAGAGTACATATTCTTTTGATGAATAAATAAATCCTTCTGCACAGCACCTTTAATTTTAAAATACAGGATATGTCATCTTTGCTAAAACCCAAATTTTCAGAAAACAAATGGATATTATAGTCAAAATGGCGACAGCTTAGCCGCTTTGAGAGAAGCCTTTCACACAGCCTTTTTTGTCATTTGAAAATAGATAACGGGCACTGAGAATGTTAAATAAAAGGTAGGCACTGGCTTTAGCAGACTGAGCTTTGGATTAGACCCTGAGCCTCGTATCACTGTAAGTTTGCCCAAAGCTGCGCTGAAGCAGTGATCCCCAAACTAGAGCTCACTGAGGTAGCTCAGGAATTAGAAGCAGTATAACTTCATCAGTGCTGAAAAAGCAAAACTGATTCATTTTGGCAGAGTGACACACTGACACAGCTAGACTGCTTTTGGGGACAGGAGCAATATCTTCACAACACTGCGTCGCACAATGTGAGATTAATTTCCCATCAGGACCTCGACCCATTACTTGTCACTCTAAAGCTACAGCTCTGTTAAAGCAAAACAAAATGATACCTAAAAAAAAAAAAAGAAGAAGAAAGAAAGAAAGAAAAACACCGAAAACAGTCAGGCTGTTTGGCATATTGATGCTGACTAAATACAGGATCCTCTGAAGGAAAACACATGTTTACTCAGCAGAGGTCCATACAGTGTCTTTCATAGTGTCAATTAGTACAGCTTCTAGGTGAGGGCCAGTCCTGTGTGTGGGAAACACTCACGGAAAAACCTAGAGTTACTTGGTTCTCGCTACATTAGAGTAAAGCCAGGCAAAGATGTGATATAGGGAGCTAAAGAGCACTAGATATTTTCCATAGCGGAGATAAAAAGCAGTGAACTTACCTGCCTAAGGTAAAGTCAGGCACAAATCAGCAGATTATAACCTATCACTAACACTGCTTAGTACAAAACATAGACAGCAAAATATATTACGCTTTCTACAATATATTGTATATAATAAAGTTGCTGAATGACGAGTATAATAAAAAGCACTCCTGGCAGTCAAAACAGGAGTCAGAAACTGCGGTCACTGTGAGTTGAAAGATTCACCTGAAAGAGGGGTTGATTACATCTATCCAAGTAAATTAAATGTGCTCAGGAAACCAAGTACTAAGGCCCACCAGCTCAGAACAGCTCGCATCTATGCTAATGCTCTTAGCCTTCAAATAGGTTGTCTGCATCCAAGCCACTTAATGGAAATAATCCCTGGATTGTCCCTACAGCTGAAGCTATGCCTAGGAATGTTTTGGAGGGGATGCTAGCTGGAACAGGCCAAATTCATGCCCGTGTCCCTGCATGGGTAACTGCATCCCAGTGCCTGGCCCTCTCCCAGACATGTGGGATTTCCACATATTGATTGAGCCATAGCAGACAAAAGTCCAGCTGTAATTTGTTTCTCTGAGTAAGTCTTGGCAGGAGCTGGTAAGAAATTGTTAGATGGCCTATTTAGCTAGAAGAGAGTAGAAGTCAATGATTCCTACTAAAATTATATTTTTTAGAACTCTGCCAGAGAAACTGATTGCCTACCTTTTTGACTTGGTAAAGGAAGGCATGTTTTCAGATGACGCCTAGTGGTTCCAGCAACATTTTATGACAATACACAGTATCAGATAATCAAAATTGAACTGATCTCCTGAATTCTTATTCTTGTCAATATCCCTTTTTGGCATTAGCTAATTTTACAAAAGATGAGACTAGAAATGATGATGGATGTTAATTCAAGGGCATTCTGTTCTTTAAAAGTCTTCTACCATACTCATCTCTAGAACATGTGAGTACCTCCAGCTGTGCATTAAGCAGCATATATCTGCCAAATTTGACTTGTTTAGCCATCCTCTCTCCAGAAGGAGAGCTGTATGTGGAACTGAGGCTTTGTCTGGATAAGTATTGTTGCTTGTGTGCCATTTCTAAATGCTATTTTGAGTATGATGCATAGGCAGAAAGCAATACTGAAAATACCTTAAACTTTTGGTACAAGTCAGTGAGGCTCATAATGTTCTTTATGTACTGTGGGAATTCACTTCATTTGTATTTGGCCTCATTGCAGCCCCTAAGAAAGGTTTGTCTCCTGCGTGAACAACCTTAATTGCTGAAGCAAGGATAGCGTCAAAAGTAGCAGGGCTGCTGACCACAGTTTTAGCCTGA